AGTGAAGGAGAGGCAGAGTAGAGACGAGTGGAGTAAAAGGGAGGATGATTCAGGGTAACTAAAATCATACTTGAGATGACAGATGTTCCCCAACTGGAGAATGGAGAATTACCTAACTAGGAAACAGGAAGAAAAATAGAAGGATAAAAAAGCTTGCAGTGGCAAAAAGGGGTGAAGGACATAGAAAATCAACAACAATCCTTGGGATAAAAAAAGAGAAAGGAGAAATGAAGAAATGTGGGAAAAAGAGAAGGGAGACAAATACCGAGAATTACTGATCATTTGAAAATTGTGGAAGGATTGATTGACAAGGCTTGAGGGGAAGATGACCTCAAGTATGAGGGTGCAAGATATATGATCATTGTTTAAAAGGGAGGAACAGTGTCACAGATTCAAGAATATGGCTGATGAAAATCAGTGCAAGGTTGTAAGCCTTGGTATAGGCTGAACTGAAGGAAGAATGAACACAGGAGGGAGACATGGGACTCTTTAGCCAAGGGCTCAGGTGAATTGGTAAAAACTTACATGGTGAAAATAAAATAATGCCTTGAGCTGAAATCAAAGGACAAGGCTGAAGATGGAGAGCAGACAGAAAGAAGGGGGAACTGAGAAGGCTCGTATTTAATGCTGTTAATAATGTAGAAAAAGTAAAAGGGATGTAGCCTGGGAAGAGTATGGACAAAGAGAGAGCAAAAGTCCAGTGTGACTGCCATGAAATGTATCTGTCGGGATAGAAATGAAACTTCTGAAAGAGAGGGAAGATAAAAAAAAGGATCCAAGACTTGGTGAGGGCGAAAGGAACAACATATGAAAAAGTCATAGATGACAGGGGTTTTTTACAGAGACAAAGAGAGTGGGAGGAAAGAAGGGTGTAGGTGTGAAATTTGAAGCTGCAAAAGAAGACAGGTAGAAGGAGTAAGAAAGGAAGATGTAGCATAAAGACAAAATTTTCAAACTTGGATGGTAAAAATAATGATCTTAAATTCTGTTTAGCCATCTTAGTAGAAGGTGGCTTTAAAGCAGAGTCCCTCAAAATATTTTTCTTTTTTCTTTCCAGACATCATCTGCAAATAGTTACTCAGATGTGTGGGCTTTTCTCTGGAGAGAGCAGTGGGAAATGAACTATGGATTCCTACTCTGTCATCTTCAGTGTGTTCATTAGGTGGTGGTGGAGAGGCTGATAGAAACTATTTTTAATAACTATCAGGTGATTCATTTAGCTGAGAGAAGGAATAGATGTTAATAGTGCCATTCCTAAACAAGTCTAGATCTTTATGTTTCACCACATTTGGCAGGTCTGTTTGGATGATGCCTAATACAGACTTCAGCCTGAATGCAACCTATATGGCTGAGACCAGGTTTATTTCAGCAACCTACACTGGAGGGCCCTGCTGCTTGGTAATAGTGTTGGCTTCTCTCTTAGGGACTTTCCTGTTTCTGCAGCTGCTTCTGCTTTGTTTGGAAGTGGACTTTTTTTTTTTACCTGGACGTGGGCCTTGCTGTACTTCTGTCACCTGGAGCTTGGATTTCTGCAGAGAACAGTTCATAAAACCATGCCCAGAGATCAAAAGGGAGCTTCCCCATGTGAGTACAGAACACCCACGGGCTGAGTGAGTGTTCTGTGCCTAATTCTCCTGGCAGGCAGCTTTAGCTCCTGTGAAATTCAAAGTGTGTGTTTTTACATGCAAAGCTTTGGGACAGGATCCATCTTGCTTGAATACAGCGCTCAATCCTTGGAAAGGCTCAGCAGCTGGGGCTCCTGGTGAGAGGGTTCTGTTCTCACCTGTCCTGGGCAAAGGTCTGCTGCTCCCGTGTCCTGCGTGCTCACCACGGTGCTCTCCACCAGCATTTCCGTCAAAATGCCCACAAAAAAACCTGTTTCCAAGAGAAGCTTTCTCCTTGTTTTTGAGAAGGGATTTGGTTGTTAAGCCTGGGGAGCTGCAGCAGACTGTGGTTCTGATTTGTTTTCTAGGAATGACTAAGAGAGGAGGAGTTTGTATGCTCTGACTAAATTCTGATGACTCTTAGCAACCACATTTCTTTAACTGTACATGAGCTTGATGAAAGTATGTTTTTAATCTTGCAAAACCCTCCTCAGTTTCTGATGTCGTTTCTTACATACATTATGTTATTTTCCATTTTTAGCTTCAATCCTTCTGTGTTTGGCATACAGGATTTTCCAGAAATATTTTCAAATGGATTTTCTCAACTTAGTAAACCAATTAATTTAATATATTTTCATTGTAGGGTAATGTCTGAAGATTTCTTGTTTTGAGTAAAACCCTTTGACCCTAGTTAAACCCAACATTTTGTTTTACATATAAGCATCTTAAAAGTGAAATATATTAAATCAGAAAAATTAAGAACTAGTATGGTAGAGATTTGGCTTTCAAGTTGTAGCCAAGAATGAAGAGAAAAAAGTTCAAGTCTTGATCAAAATAATGGGATGTGGGATTAATGACTTGGCTGGAAGCTGCATCAGAAAAAAGGTGGTGATTTGAATCCTCAAAGGCAAAATGAATGAATTACACAGTAGCTGGTTTTGGTTCAGAATGATGGTTATCCCAGATTAGCTTCCCTAGTATCATTTTAACAGCATCCAACCACGACAGTGAATAGTTTCTTGTGTTTAGTCCCCAACCAGGAAAAAAATGTCTAAGAAAAAAATCTGGATGTGCAGCCTGATACTCGCTGTTGAAAATCTGAAAACATAAGGCTGCAGTTCTCCATTGTGGACCACTCCCTGGTGAAACTAATATCTTTTTCTCCAAAACTGTGTTGGAACTAGTTACCCTGTACTGCAGTGACATCTACTGAAGGAAAGCAAAAAAAGTCTTGGGAAAGCAGTGTTTGCCTCTCTTAAACACAATACAAACATCAGGGATTTAATATATGTGAACACTGAGAGGTTTAATATTTTTCCCTTTGTCAATTTCAGAGCTATCATTTTCTGGTTTTTATGAAGCACCCATCACGACTCTGTTCCCAGACTTCAAACACATTACTAATGTATTCTGTGACCTGTTTTGTATGCAAATACTTAATTCCTGAAAGATTGTGGTTTAGTTTTAGTTCATTCTCCATTTGAGAATGGAAGTAAAGGGACATATTTTTTTCACTGAAGAAGGGGAGAGATTAGAATTAGGGGGCTGGCAAGCATAAATGTTGTTGAGACAGAGCTGGCTGCTGTGTGCCACGGGGGGTGAAAAGGACAAGAGAACTGTCACTTCTGCTACTAAGGTGAGCTGCTTGTATTTTTACTACCTTTAGGCAGAGCATATTTGAAGATGTGCTTTCTTTATGCTCTCCTCTTGCCAGCAAGGAGTGTTTTATACTAGAAATGAACTAGTGAATTACAGAAGAATAATGAATTGCATTATGTACAGCTGCTTGTAGGGGAGATCTGCCTTATTTGCTGGCAAAGCTTTGTGGTCTATAGCTGCCTCATCCAGATACTTCCATCTCTTTCTTCCATGGGATCTAATCTTGCCATTGGCAGCAATGTATGCAGGTCTCCAGATGAGGAGAAAAATGGGATTAATGCCTGCACTTCCATCCCTCAGAAGCAGACAACATCTTGTCCTTTTAGTTGCAATGTCCTCCTTGAAGGGATACCTCCAAGCAGAAGTCGTCCCACCACTGTATGCACGTGAAAAACTATCAATGAACTATTAAAAAAATAAGCATAATGTAGCTGCAAAATATTGTTTGATTGAGATTACTGTTATTTAAAAAAGACCTGAAAATACCAGTGGGAAGGGTTTATGGTTCTGCTCCCTTTTGCATTTTTTTTTTCTGGTCTTCCATCATGCAACACTTACAGCCTATAATTAAACCAGCTTGCTGCTATTTGCATTTTCATGAAAGGAGCCTCTTCTAACATACCTCTCTTAAATCTCCTATTTGATACCGAGTGAAATTTAATTTCAAGGCTTTACTCTTTGCAGATCATTTAACTCTTAATGGCTTTTCATCCTAAATCTATCTCTGCTTCTGTCTGGGCATATGTGTCTCCCTCCTCATCTTTCTGTCTCTCTTCCTCATTATTTGTTCACCTTTAAGCCATTCCAAAGCTATTGGAAAGACAGATTGCAAAGACAGACGCCTGAATTTTGCTATTATGCTCTACAACTCTGGCATGAGTTCCTACACATTCCTATCACAAATATTTCTGGAACTGTAAACCCAGTGAGGGAAAAAATGAGCTCTAGGCTGCTTATTAGTTAAATAGTTCTGTATGGCACTATTTGCACATGGGAGTCATATTTATGGATTTAGCTGAACAGTCAAAGAATAGTGATTTGCACAATATTCTTGGAACTGCTTGACTTAAGGTCATACATAAAATTAAAATACAGTTTATATGCTCAGTTCTAGGTCCTTTGTGTAAGGTATCTCGTAGAAAAGTAATAGCTAGTAGCAAAGCATGTCTAGCAAGTGGAATTTTCTGTTGATTCTCTCATTCCCTTCTGTATCTTTCCTTTTCCTGACAGAAACAGATGGAATTTTATTTTCTCACAATTACTATGAACTGAGACTAACAGCTCTTAAATTATCAGTGAAGGGGTGGAAAGGTGTGGAAAGCAATAAAAACATGCAAACCCTCTGTAACAGTCTGAACAGTGAAATGTGTAAATAAATCTTGTCAATCAATAAACCATAACTGCCCTGTGGCTTGTGGGTTACGCCCAATACATGTAAAGATCCATTAGTCCTTCATGTAATTTGTGTATATTAAAGAATAAAAAAAATGTTGATTAGACCTTCCAAACTTCTATGCAAAAGAGGACAGACATTTTATTTACCTACTGATAAAGTATGCAAAGGATTTTTTTTTAGCTTTGAAGTTGTTGTTTAAGCATGGAATCCTTTGACTTTCTGAGAATATTTCCTTTAGGTTCTTCTTTGCCCTTTTTAGTCCTTTTTTCACTCAGTTTCCTCTCTTCCAGAATTTGGTATTTTCTTTTTATGACTGTTACCTTATTTTTTTTTAATTGTAGTATTTAATCACAAGAGATGGCACAATGGTAAAAAGCTCACTTTGAAAACTACTCCAGTTATGACATGGACATCATCTGAGAAAGCAGCCACTTGACTTTCTGGAGTTGGTCTGCATGTGCTGCAGGTACTGGCCACAATATGATTGTCTGACACATGCCCCAGGAGTCACACAAGGACCTCTGGCACTACAGCTATGTTTAATTTTGAGAAAGAAGACTTTCTAAATTGAACGGATTAAATAATGTAACCTCTGAGCAGGCTATATGGAAAGATGAGGAAATTAACATTCAGAGAAGTAGACACTACTGAGATGTCATTTTCTAAACTTTGAGGTGTGCAGGAGGAAGGCCTGATGCAATGCTGTTTTGTTCCTGCTGAGGATCTCATGGTGGAAAATGCACATCATCTGAGCTGGAGTGAGGGCTCCCCTTCAACACAAACAAGGTGGGGATATCCTTTCAGGCAAAGAAAAGTAAAGGAAGAAATTCTCTGTGGGGAAAAGGGAACGGCTACAGGTGAGATATATTTCAAGCTGTTTTGTCTTTGCCACAGAACCAAGATCATGCTGGTCCTGAGTTCTGGTTGTGGGCTGCTCTAAGATCAGTAAATTAATTTTGAGTGTGATGTACTTTGCTATACCGATATTGTTGATACTGACCTGTTAGTTCAAGAACAGGAGGTCACTATATTCATGGGAGTTTTTATATTGACCATAAGATTTTCTAGAATTGATTACCAATGCCAGGTGATGAGGATTGCTGCCTCTGGTCTGACATAGGTGTATCCCTTCTCTGCTCCCACACATGCATGATTGAGGCTGCTGTGCAAAACAATAGCCCAGAAGCTGTCAGGGATTCTTTCCTATCACTGAGGAAGCTGAAACACAGAGGTTGCTCCCGGTTACACCCCTGCAGCTTAAGCAGAGTTTCCATGAAGATGACTCTGATGCATGGGATGAAAGATGTTCAGTACACTAAAATTATTCAGCTACATATTTTCTGCCAAGTAGACCCTGAAAGTTCTGGGAGAAATGCCAAAGCAATGCTGGTAGATGAATGCTTCTGAGCCATCATGTCCTTGACTGCAGGAAGATAGAAATGTTCTATTAGGACTTTTTTTAAGATTACCCTCTCTTTGTTTTGTTTTTCTTTGTATGGAGTCATGTTAAATACCAGCTAAAAACATTGTATACTCATTTGATTTTGCCCTTCTCATGGAAAACCATAAGTTAGATATAGCTTTTAACTATGCAGTTTCCATAGATTCCACTTTATTTATTTCATAGTTACCTCCCACCAGTTTTCCTGGATTTTCTGGGTTTGCATTGTTTTGCTGATTCCCTGTATACAGCACATTGAAAATTCTTAGTAATCCTGCAAACACAATCAGCCTGATTCAAATTCCTTACCCTGTATGCTCATTTAATGGAAGGTCCAACTTCACTCTCCCTCATTGTATACAGCTGGGAAAGATTTGACTTAAGTGAGCTCTAAAACCTCCTTCTTGAGCATTTGTTTAACAGGATTCTGCACTACATGTTGTCTTGTACTTTGGACTTTTTTACCTGTGCATAAAGCAGTGGCTATTGACATTGCTGCCATAGTGGCTCATTCATACAGAACCTTCCTCTGAAATATGGCTTGTTTAGTTCACTGAACTACTTTTCTTTACCTGAAAAAAAGTTCAAAAATTACTGCCACAGCTATATCATGATTGTTTTAATTAAATTATTTTTTCCTGCTAATTTTCATGAGGATGAAGTGTTTCTAGATAATGATGTATGTTTACTAAGCCCTTTTCAGCACCTTAAGTCCCTAGTATTATTTAACAATATAAATATTATTACAGTTCTAAGGCTTTATTTCCTGTTTAGTACAACCAATATGGAGAAATTTTAATTTACAGTCTGACATTTTTTCCCACTTTGTAACAGGAAGGTATCTTTCTTTTTTACTTCAATCATATGCCAATTGATGTTTCTGATGCTCTCTTTCATGCCTTATTTTTAGTAATTGTGCTTGTGCCTTCAATGGAACATTCATTTCACATTAGCTTATTGTACTCTGGAGGAATTTTTTATAGTGATGTAGAAAAATTGTCTAGAAGCCTTTAAAGAAAGATTGTCCAAATTAATTTTTTAAAATTTATTTTTGAAGCATTTTCTAATTTTTGACTCCTGTGAGAACTAAAGTATACAAATACAGTATATGCTAAAATAATAAGCATTTTTATTCTGTAATACATTATTACGATGTGAACAGAGGGAAGAAAGGAGCTGAGCACGTATGTGTTCAGTAGGTGCTGGATACATAAGGGACAGTCAGCCTGTAGTAATAAATGTCCCATTTAATCTGCACAGTGCCGGGTTTAAAGGCATGGTTAAGAATTCTCAATTACAAAGGATATTAACAGCTCTGAACAGGTGTATCTTTGTCTTAGGTTTGGAGATTTATTTGATTATGCTGCATATGGTCATATGTTCATGGCAACAGGGATGTGCAATGAGCCTCTGTAAACCAGAAAAGACAGAAATACTTCTGTAATCAATGACTGGTGTAATTTGCTTTCTTAACAGTGGAAACAGCCAAACAAAGTTCCAAGGAAGCCATGAATTGTCTTGATAAATATAATAAATGTATCAATATGTGCAAAATTCTGCTGTGGCACATAAACTTCAAATGCAGCTAAAGATAAATAAAAAGAAAAAAAAAAAAAAAGCAAAACCACATATAAAAGTATCTTTTGCTTTATGGGCTTAGACTAAAGGTAGACTTAAGGTGATGTCATCCAGACCTGTAGCATCGTGCATGCCAGGACTAATATTATGTGGAAGTTGTTCAGAGCAATGTAATTCAGATTCAGTGGTATTTTAGGCACTGTTAATACAGTCCTAATTCACAAGAGGGAGAAAATTAATTAGGTCTGGATCCTATTGTTCTCCCTGAGAATACATCTTAGTGGAAATTTTTTTTTATCAAATTCAGTATATGATTTTCAGATGATACTTTACACTCAGATTTATAGATTTCCAGTCCTAGTTTGCCTTCTTTTTTTAGCAAAACTAGGGCTTTGGAGGGGCTAAGCTAAAGCCTGGGGGCTTTCCAAAGTTGCAAAACAAAAACAAGTCTTCCTTTTGTTTCTGTTTAGTTTGCTGCTTTTTCCATCTGCTGGAGCATTGACCATCTCACAAGAGTTTGTAGCCCAATCTTTGGATTTGGTGTTTAGCTTCCTGTTTCCTGCATAACTACTTCACCTTTTTGAACTAAGTATGTCCTACTGCTATATTTTCTTTAGGTCATTGTTTCCTAAAGTTACTGAAGCACTGAAAATGTCCACAAGGACAGATTTCATTAAAGGGAAGTACATGGGTTTAATTGTAACTAAAATAAGATAAATTGATCCTTCTTTTGTCACCTCTATGCAGTAGTCATTTCTCCGACACCTTGGGCATCTTGGAATGTCAGTTTGTTAAACTTAACTCAACAAAGAATTCTGGGGAACGATTTTGCAAATGATGTTTTAATAGTGAGTTGGCATCAAGAATCATCAAATATAAAGGTTCCCAACTTTGTGTATTAAAATAAACTGAATTTACAGGTTATTCAATAGTGAAACATTCCTGTTTTCAAAAGGAGTTTCTTATGATCAGGACTGGATAGAGTAGTGATACATGGATGAGGATAGTGCAATGGCATTTATGTTTTCTCATCCCATGATGTCAGAAGCACTATTTGGGTGTTACAGCTCTCTCCTTGTACTTCAACATTCCTCTTTCAAGTATCTACATTACATCAGAAAAGTCAACCAGACAAATCACAACAATTTGTTATTCCATGGTGAAGACTTTTGAGCTGGAAGCGTAAAATACCTCAAAGTGTTCATGGTTCAGGCCAACAAGAAAAATTTGTCATAGTCCCCATGGTTTCTAGGGCTTAATGCCCTGGCACAATTCCAGTGTGGGATTTTACAAATGTATTAAAGGAAAAGCTTTCAGCCAAAGGTTATGAAGTAAGAGGGTCCTGTAACTTCTCTGCTGCCATGGTGTGTCTGAATAGAGCATCACCACAGCCAGCTGGCCATAGCCAAGAGAGGCAGATGGAATGAAAGCCATGAACTGCAGTGATGAACACAGGTCAGGGGCATAGAAGGCCCTATTCTGCACATGATATCAGGCCACTTTGTAAATTAAAAACAAATAAATACGTGAGGATTTTCTAATCTTCAAATTATTTAGGTGATCATATGCATTCAGTAATTTATCACATGGCTGGTAGCAGGGCACTAGGATAAAATAGAGAAGTTTTAAAGTAACAATATTTTAAAATAATAATCTGTCTTTTAAATAATAAAAATAATCTTTATGTTAAATTATATTTTTTAAAGTAAAAAATAGCTAAGTTTTTTCTTTGTTGCTAAGTAATTTTAAGTAGTAACTTGGTATTTATTTACAATAGTATTCTGATAGAAAGATAACTAGCTCAACTAAGAGAATAAAAAAACCTCCAAAAAATAATCCTTAAATAGTCTGTCCATACAATGGTATGACATTAGCTAAGTAATCCATGTCCTGCCAGTGTATTACCTTAACCTGTTCTTCACTTGTCACAGGCAGTAAAAAAGGTCTTTGTCTTGTGCAAATAAAAAGACATTTGAGCATTTCTAAGTAAAACTTTGAGAGAAAAAATATTTGCTTAAGACAAACAACTGTTTCACGACAGACCTATTTTGGGTAAAAGAATGTAAAAATCTTAGCAATGTGTCTCTGGTGTATAAATAAATGCCCTGTAATTGTCTTTGCTAAAAGTGGAGGTAATGGTGTTGAAACAATAGACTCCATTGAAAAACTGAAATCCTGTAAAGTGATAAATGTGTAAGGTCGGCTGAACTATTTGAAGGTAAATCACTTTTCTTTCCTTAGCTTCTGACATCTTTAATCTGAGAAAGAAGATGTCCAGAAATTAACTCTGTGTGTTCCACAGAGGTAGGAAAAGACCTGTAACAGGTATAGGATCACACCTGCCACTTCACTTAGCAGGAACCCCTCCATTACCCTGCCTCTTCCCTAGATTAGACAATTCCTAGCACAAAAATCTCCAAACGGTGTTCAGACATGCTCAACTCCTGCTCAGACTGTTTCACACAGATTGCTGGCAAGACTGATGAGGCTGACACATTTCTGGCCAGCCTGTGGCCAAGGGGCTAATGCTTCACATTCCTTCTAAGGGGTTGGGGTCCTTTAAACAGGTAATGGGCAAAGCTCCACTTGTACACACAAAGAATTGCCATATCAGTGGGCCCAAATCCTATTGGAAGTTCCATCTGGAGA